TTTTTTTTTTTTTTTTTTTTTTTTTGTGTGTGTGTGTGTGTGATGATGAAATATTGAAAAACTGAACTGAGGAAACTTTATGAGATTGTAAATATATAGATTTCATGCTACTTATTTCTTATCTCTTTAAAGTTTATTAAAACAGAGAACAAAAAAAAAAAAAAAAAAAAAACTAAGGCACACCACCACGTACGCATCAAGGATGGTGTTTAGCATATCCCATGCCTACTTAATAAAATAGCACAAGATACAATAAAGACTGCACGATAATCTTGTCTTCTGAAAAATTTTAAATTAATTCTATATTATCAATACTAAATTTTGTTCTCCATGGGGAAAAAAATGTTTACTGAAATACCTTTTTAGTCATAGTAGCAGAAAATAGATACGTTCTCCTCTCACGAGGAATTTCATCTAAAATTTCATCTATTGACTTTTGGAAGTCTTCATTCAATAACCTGTCTGCCTCATCAAGGACCTGCTCAACATGAAAAACAGGCTATTCAGTAAAAATAATTACTTCAACCAAACATATTTAATTAACTGAAAGCTTATTGTCTCTCCATACAAGAAAAACTCAAAGGTGATTTCTTACGAAACTCACCAAATATTTCAATGTGCGGAGGGAAAAACCTTTTGTATTGGATAGATGGTCCACAAGGCGCCCAGGTGTCCCAACCTACAACAAAATAAATGAAATATTAAATCAACAACTAGATAAACAAGCAGCAATGGAAGCCATGACAAAACATTTGATATCGTGGAAATTATTACAAACAGGCTAAGGAAATTGTATATGGAAAGATCATGTACACAAAAGTACTACAGTGAACATCATACCATTGTTGATGCTTTATGATGTGTGGTAGTTTCAAGTTCAACTACTGGCTGCAGTTGTTATCACTAGTAGGAACGGTAACTTTATTTAACTTTGACGTCTGTTTTGACAGCCAGGCCTATTTACTGGTAGATTTTTTTGTATAAATTTTGTATAATTTATCCTGGAGAGGCTTATGACTTGATAAAAAAAAGATTCTTTTGAGGCTAAATCTCTAGTCAAATATCCCAAAAGAACAATACGATAATGTCGAGAAGAGGACATGAATTATCACATGGACCATCACATTCACTCTAGAATGAAGTTTAAGAGAAGCAGAAAATATCATAGACTTACGACAATATGTGGCCGTTTTGCCAAGTTAATTGCTTGCTGCACCATGTCTACACCTCCAACAAGCTACATTAGATTAAAATGAAATATTTATCACCAAGATAGCTCCATGTTTAGGAAGTACAGAAGCACAAAAAACATCAACAGGAAAACACTAACAAGAAAAGAAAAATAGGAGACCGCATCCTCAAGAAGTTCAACTAGATTTTGTATTCAGAAAAAAGAACCCAGCTAAAATAAATGTACTGTTCCCTATAGAACCCTTATTGCAACTGTATAGCTCAATCAGTTCAGTTCATACTACTCGATCCCTATAACCTCTAATTTCCCTCTGCCTTTTATTTACAACCTTGAGCCACCAAAATTCCAACTAGACACCTACCGGCTAGCTTCCTATAAACAAACTCCCATCAACTATTCTCTCTCAAACAAACTAACTCCCTCGGATAGCACAGCAATTATTCCCAGGGGACTGAGGCTGTAAGCCATAGCTAACTAATCTCGATAAGTAGCACTATGTGAGTCTTCTTCCTCATCACACCAGCATAAACGATAGATAGCATTATGTTTCATTATATCCTCCTACAAACTTAATATCAGGTTTGGATAATATTTAATAGTCATTCCTTCTATAATATATAAGAACTACTCAAGAAACGGATGATTATGAGCACAAGTTACTTGGATTTTTCATTATTTGACGTTTAAAAAAGAGTAATGTTATGCATATAAAAACACTTTCTTATTGACGTATAATAACATCCTCATAATTTGTAATCAGAAAGCTTACCACTGCACACTTAATACCAATGCCAGACCCTAAAGCTTCAAATTGCTCAGCAATCTGAATTGCAAGCTCCCTGAAGAATAACGATGGAAACACATATTTGAAGTTTATAGACAGGCTAGAATCTTTTAAACTACTACAATTGGGTATCAAACCTTGTGGGAGAAAGTACACATGCAAAAAAAGCTTGAGGAGCCTCCAAAAGGGCTTGCAAAATGGGAAGAGCAAAAGCTCCAGTTTTTCCAGAACCAGTCTGTGCAAGTCCAATTAAATCCTTTCCTGCATCACAGACGGTCACGGTTGAACATTATCAATACCACAAACATAAATTGCAAAGAAAGAACAGTGAAAACAAAGCAAAAAAAGGGAAGCCGAAGGGAAGGGGCATCACAGATCAATATTAGACATGCATCCTAAAATTTACCAAACCACATAAAGAGAATGAAAATACATCAAGGCTCAAATTAATTTTTTAGTAATAAATGTTATCATTGAATGAATAAATTAAAGTAGTGCAGGACCCAAAACCCAATGTGGTTACAGAAAAAAGCCACTACAATTGAGAACAAAAAGAAAATTGAGGGGAAATAAATTCAAAAAAAGAATCCTAAGAGTCAGAGCTAATTCTCAGTTGAACAACTCTTGTATTTTGTTCTGGACAAGTATGGTACAATATACGAAATTGACATCCTGCAAATATAATCAGAGCTATCCAATATCACCAACCTAATATTTATAGAAATATTTGTAACTCCCATGCAACTCCAAAATCAAAAGCAGTTACAAGAAATGAATTAAGTAAATGCATAAGCTAAAGAAAGAACCTTCTAGCGCATGAGGAATGGCCTCAGCCTGAATCTTGGATGGATTTTTCCAGCCTAAACTATCACATGCCTCAACCAATTGCTCACATATCCCCAAGTCCTTAAACGTCTTCACTTCTTCTTCATTGTCTTGCTCCATTGCCACTGTTAAATCTGGAGAATAAAACAAAACACAAGAAAGTTATTAGTGATACAACGGTGGCATGTGACTGATTGAAATGATTCATAAATATTAATACAACAAGTTCCCTAAATTAGACTAGTTTTAACTTTTATTTATAAAATTTATTTTGTGAACGGATAAGGGGAAGAGGACAATGATACTGAATGAAGAAAATTGGGTAGACATTAAAAGTGACATCTAAAACGAGGATGAAACTATAATATACGTTAATGACTCAATTAAAGATCCTATTAGTGATAGTGATAACGATATTGCCGATATGCTTTAGACTATTACTAACACAAGAAAGTTAAATGTACTAATGCACATCACTGTACTATTATGATTTTTTTACTTTATCGTTAATAATTTTTTTAGTACGTTTTGTACTTTTAAGAAATATTATTTGTTAAGGATATACATGTTGCCTCCATATGAGAAAACGTACTAGGATTACCTTAAGTCTTTAAAACATGGTTATACATCGCAAACTATCAGGGAAAAAAAAAACACATAAAGCATAATCTACCACAAACTTTGGCCAAATAGTTGCTAAAATTGAATGTAGGGAAGAAAAACATCAATTTGCATCATCTTCTAACCAAGGAAGCACAAATTCATCCAAATCTCCATCTATCTATATATCTAAGTACTTTATACAAAATTTATCTTTTTTAAGTTTTTCCCGCCACATTTTGCCCTTTTCATTATTTTCTTCAACTAAATTTATCTTTTTTAAGTTTTTCATTGTTTTTTTATCATCTATATCTATGTATATAAGGGGCGGCAGGGAAGAAAAACTTTTACGCCAAGTTGCTCGGTCAAGCAATCAAAGGAAAATTGGAAGACTGGTTCATGTCCGAATCAGAACAGACAAACACAAACTTCACTATTGTTTCTATCGGGCTATTGTTATTAAAGGAAAAAAAAAAAAAAATCAAACAACTCCTCCATTGTTCATTAGACAAGTTGTCATTTGTGTTCTTCAGGTGAGAAGAAAGACAGATGGAGACTTGGAGAATACCTGTAACAAAAAGGAGTAGAAAATCAGCGCAATCTCCGTGGGGGGAGGAGGCTGCGGCGGCGACACGAACGGAAGAAAGATGACGTCGGAGGCTGAACGGGAGAGAGGCAGCGGCGCTGCTGAGACGGAGGAGGAGTCGGCTTCAAGTGCGTGGAGTAGTTAGGGCTATTTCAGTTTTGTTTTTCTCAAGTAAAAAGTGGGCTGAGCTATTTTCTTAATAAGAATTTAAAAATAATAAATAAATGTTTTGTTTTAAATAAATAAATGGTTTTTTTTTGGTAACCTTTTCTAATTTATATTAATTTTCTATGAAATGTTTTGATTTATTATCTTTGAAAAAAGAATATATTTTCTTTTTAAAAAAAAAACTCCCTCTTCCGGATGGGCTGGGCTTTAATCGTTTTGGGCCCAAACCTTACTGTTGGGTTGAAAGAACCGAACCGAACCGAACCAAAAAAAACCGTTCCATTTCACGATAGGGGCAGAGGCGACAATTTCTCGTTCAGAAGTTGAGACTACGGGAGAGACCCATTTTTTCTCGGCGAGTCCAACTTCGAACAACAACAATGGAATCCAGATCCCGGAGGCGGGTCCTCATCGACGATAATTCTCCTGCCGCCGGAGTTTTGGACCGACACGACGCCGTCGGGACCGCTGACGATGTGCAGGGACTGAAATTTCGACCCTCCGATGGGAATGTGACCGAAGATCAGGAGCTCTTCATGGGCATCAAGGTCCGTCGAAAAGACTCGCTTCATCATGATTACAAGGGGGATTACATTGATGTTCCCTCGAATCAATTCTTGATGAAAATCCTGCAAAAGCAAGGTTAAATTTGCACATGCCGCGTTGATATTATATATTATTTACGGTGTTTTGATCATGTCCGGCCTCGAATTGAATTTCGTTTGCTTTTGTAATTCGCTCACGTATCTATGTATGTTCGTGTCTGAAATTCGAAAATTATAGTTGATTGATTATAGTTTGTTCGTCCTGCCTTGTCAAATCGTATGTCGATGATAGTTTTCCATCTCCAGAATTGCGAATCTATTGCTCTCATGATGTTTAATAACTCTTCTCTCTTATCCGTTACTTTTTGTGTGCAATCAAATGAAAATGGTGTTTGATTTTTAGGATGATTGCTAGGTAATGATGGAAATATACACGCATATTTGAAATTATTATCTATTTGGACACTATGTATTGTTTAATTCCTAAACATATAATTTATTCCTATGCATTGTGTAGTTTCCTTTTTGAATTTGTGAATGAATAGGATCATTTCAGCTGGCTATTAAGCATTTTGGAGAGTATTTAGCAGAGTGAAGACGAGAGATTTTGTTGGATTTACTTTCTTGTATCTTCTAAACTCCATTTATTTGGTTGAACTCTTTAAGTATAATGAGGAAGAAAATAGTATCCTCCGGTGTGTTAATGTCTCTTCGAACGGCCCCTACTCTTGCAGAATATTATGGTTTTTATTGCGTTCGTATCAGCCATTTTGAACTGATGCATCGTTCATACACGTCTTCTTTTGAATTCTATATCAAGCCATAACCAAGCTCTACCATGCTTTTTATCCCTGCAGGTGAAGAGAGTGTGCTTTTTGCAGACAAAGTTTTGAAGTTCACTGCTTCTGGGAAGATGAAAAGACGGATTCTTTTAATAACAGAGTTCGCCATTTATATCGTTGACCCAGAAACTGATACCCTTAAAAGGAGGGTTGCCCTGGCTGCTGTGGATAAGATATGTTTAAGTGAACTAAGTGATAACTTCTATGCAATTGTAATTCCAACCGAGTATGATATACTGATGGCAAGTACTCGGAAAACAGAGATCGTAACAGTTTTGGTTGACGCCTTTAAGAGTTCCTCTGATTATGAACTTGAGATTGTATTCTCCAACAGGTAATGGACATTATCTTCCCCATTTATCGTTCCCATTATGAACCGATATTTTCATTGTTATATGATGGTACTTATGTAAATCAGTTAACGAGATTTCGCTACCGATATTTTCAAAGTTTTTCATTTCATTTTGATTTAGTTACCATTTGAATATCTATTTCTTCTTGTTGAGTTGTAGTGTTTTAAGACGAGGATATTTGTGTTTTTTTTTTTGCTAAATGTTTGTTATCCCTCTTTTTTTTTTTTCCTTTTTTAGGTTTGTGTACAGTGCAGGTGGTGAACTGATAAAAGAAGTTCAATTCGAGGAAGTCGAAGGTACGAATATATCTTTTTAAGTCGGAATTTAGCATTCGCATTTATTTTGTTCTTGTTTCTCGTACTCTGTTAGAGAACCCGAAGATAGACTTGTTTCCCTTTCTAAAGAATTGGTAAAAGAAGTATATTTGATAGTTCTCTTCTGTTTTCCCTTTATATTTGGAAGAAAAAAACACATTATTTTGTTCTTTTTTCACCTTATTTTCTCAAACTTTACATTTATTGAAATTATTTTCAAATGTTGTATAAAAAATTGGGAACAGTTCTTGTTACCAAATGGAAAGCAAGAAAGAGTTACCAAAATAAATATGTTATCTGAAGAACTAAGAATAAGAAGCAAAAACATTACTAAAAGTGTCTGGTATTGGTAATAACATGCAGGTGGTGTGAAAACAAGAATTTCGAGGAAGGAGGAGTGATTTATGACTGGTTTCATTGGTCAGCCTCTTCTTTTATATTTGATCAAATTGATGATTGGAATTTGATCTCGTAGATTCTTCAAGTATTTGAATCTGTATAGAAATGGATCGTAAGTTGTAGCTTTTGCATATACATGCCCTTCTTTTCATCCTTCTATTTTCTCTTTGTTTCTCAGTTTTGTAACGGAACGTAACATTTGAATTCTTAGCCAAATTCTATTATCGATATCAAACTGGACTTCGACTATATTTTTTTTTTTTGTTTTCCTTTATTGTTTTTTTATTAAATTTTTCAGGTTAAAACTCAATATTGTTCCCCGTATTAAATTTAAAATTTGAAATTTAACCTTTGTATTTTTAATAAGCCTTAAAAAGTGTTCTTTCAGCTAGTTTGAAGTTAATTTTTTTGCCTAATTTTGAGTAATTCACCTAAAACGCCTCATATCTTTGTTATAGTTAAAAAATTTCATCTAATATAACAAATAAATAAATTAAACTATATAAAATATCTCTCAACTTTAGAATATATTTCAATTTTTTTAGAATACACCTTAAAAGATTTTATTTTTACACTAAAAAGAATATTTTTTAAAATATATTTTGAAGTTTGAAAGACTAAATTCATAACTTTTCAAAAAATTTAGTATAACTCTTTAATTATGATGACTTTTTAAAGTTTTATTTGTAAAAATAACAAACTGAATTAAATTGCATGAGAAGCGTGGTGTGCTCATAACTTACACAGAATATAATAACCCATAACGACCAATCTGACAATAATCCATTGGTTCAGAAATTTTACTCTTTTAAATATAAGAATGTTAATTATGATAATTTCTTTCTAATTTTTATTATAAATAAAATTGTATTATCTCATTTTAAAATAATTTAATATAAAAATATATTAGAATGGCGGAGCCGAAGCAGGGTGGGCCCATAGTCTGCATCGAAACCTAGCTTGATACCTTCCTCTCTAATATAAGATCAATCTTGAATTTGTTAATTTATAAAATTAAATAAATAATAATTGAACACATAACATGAACTAATTTGAAAAAACTATAATAAATATTATTATTATTAAAAAAAAAAAAAAAAAAAAAAAAAAAAAAAAAAAAAAAAAAAAAAAAAAAAAAAAAAAAAAAAAAAAA